ACACACACGTGGATATGGGAACACACACATGGAGATGGGAACACACATATGGAGATGGGAACACACACGTGGAGATGGGAACACACCCATGGAGATGGGAACACACACATGGAGATGGGAACACACACATGGAGACAGGAACACACCCATGGAGATGGGAACACACACGTGGATATGGGAACACACCCATGGAGATGGGAACACACACGTGGATATGGGAACACACACATGGAGATGGGAACACACACGTGGAGATGGGAACACAAAGATCAAGCAGAGTAGCTTTGCTGAAGGGATTTATTGATCATTCAGGGGAAATGCCCCTGGGCTCTGAGGAAAATCAGTAGGTCCTCCAGGGATGATCATCTCTTCATGGCACTGGAGTGGGACAGGGCACGGGTGTCACCACCAGTCCTGAAAGACAGAGCCCAAAATGTCACCCCCAAAGTCCACTGCAACACAAGAGGGGCCTTGTCCTGACCCCTCTCCCTGCAGGCACTGCTCACCTCACACATCCAGGGATGCAGCCACATCTCACCAACAGGACCCACCACCTTCTCCACCACAGGGGGCTGGGGACAAAGCAGGGTTAGAGACACACTGGGTGCAGTGGGATGTATTGGGAGCCTGGGAGAAGAAATGGGATCCTTGGGGAAGGTGCACTGGGGTATACTGGGGCAGACTGGGATGGCCGGGAGTGTCATGGCCATGTGAGGGGAGGACCTGACTCAGGCAGAACTCCTGGTACCCACCTGAGCCATCTTCAGGATCCCAACGTCCACTAAATGCAGCTGGAGAGAGACCAGGAGCCCTGGTTGGTCACTGGGATGTCCCTGGTGCCAGCGAGGAATGGGGGGACCAAAGTGTCCCCCAGTTCCCAGACTGGATGCCCTCCAGTCCCCCCGGCCCACTCACCTCCCGCAGATCATTTTGGGTTCCTGCCAAGAGTGCCTAGGGAAGGAGAGCAAAGGGTTGCTCAGGATTGGCCCCTGTGGGGCTGGGGGAGGGACACGGGTGTCCCCAGACCCCCCAGCCCAGGGCTGCCCCCGTCTGAGGGGGAAAATCCCTTCTGCTCCCCCCGCTCCCACTCCACCCAGTTTCACCTCCAACCCCTGTTCCTGCAGGGCCCAGGGTGGGGATGGAGACAAGGAGAGCCAGGGGAATTCAGGGCCTGCAGGGAGGGTGGGGGGCGGTTGGGGGGACCCAAAGATGCTGAACTGGGGGGAACTGGGGAGCCCAGGGGACTGGGATTGGGGTGTTGAAGGGGCCCTGTGTGGGATGCAGGGGAGGGGAAAGGAATTCAAGTGTAGGGACATGGGGACTGCAAGGGAGAGGCTTGGTGGGGACAGGAGGAGGAGGATGGAGGAGGACAAAAACGAGGGGACTGGGAGATGGTTGGGACTGGAGAGGGAGGCAAGGAATGGTCTTGGGAGGTACCAGGGCAGTGGCCTGGGGGAAAGGCAAAGGTCTGAGGGGAAAGACGGAAAGAAAAGCTTTGGGAATGATCAGTGGGAGGATGTTTGGGGACCCTGGGTAGGACACAGAGCAGATCCTGGGGAGGAGATGCCCGAGGGGACCAAAAAGGATGGGATGGGAGGCCCAAGAGGTGGGATTTGGGAGCACCATTGAAAGAAACAGGTGGGGGCCCTCCCAGCAATTGACAGTGGACCTCCCTTGTCAGGGATTGCTGAATGGCTTCCTGCTGTTGTATCTTTCATTTCTGATAAAACATCACCCAAATACTTTTCAAACAGTGCCTGCCAATGGAGCTTGAAGGCACTCGTTCCATC